AGGCCAAATAGCTAGTGTAGCATAAGAAATATGTATTTGAGATGTATATTAATTCATCTGACAATTTCCACTGGCCTTAACAGTGGGTGAACCATGACTATTAGAGCTAGGCCTCCAATCTGGGATATAAATGTCACTACCCTGTCAAAACACACCTCTATGATAATGCTAACTTCTCCTAGCAGGCCTATGGAATACTAGTAGTTTGTTAGCGCTAAGCTAACAGCGAATGATTGTGTTTTGGCCATTCTATATAAACACAGATAGTTGAAGCTTCTAAAATACATTGTGTTTTACTTGATGCTTGTAACAGACATATTAGCATATAGCATACAATATATCTTATAGCAGTTTCACCGTGACTGTTTCAGTAGAGAGGCTCGTACAGAGCTGCCGTCGCTGTTTTCCATTTCTAACAACCAAGTGATTAGGCTGCTGCTCGTATTCCCAATCAGTGGCATATCTAGAACTTCTAGAAGGCCTAGATTGACATTTTTTCTGACTACATTGGTTGTTGTAAAACATGATCGGTTGATGCTTCTGTCAGTTCATAATTATGCTGGTGGCTGATCTAACATTGTAGGACTTCTCTTCAGCTCTTGAAGTCATAACCAATAGGAGAGCTCGCTTAGCTATGTCTACCTAGATACAATGAAGGAAAAGATTTTTGTTTTTCTGGGTATTTTAATAATTTAACCCTTGAGTTTTCATTAAAACTGAACAGTGAAAGAGTGATGCTGTAATACTTCCAGAGTTGCCAAAAATCTAGAGGGCCCTGAGGGTTCCCCTCTGCCTTTCGGAGACCAGGAGAGAGATGCTGAACAGTAAATGATGTGTGTGTGTGAGACACAGAGCCCTGTGTATGTGCACTATGTGTCATTTCAGCTTTTCCAATGGCCTTATCTGTAATCCAGGGGCACAAAGTAGAGGGGTGATTCAGTGCTGATAGTGTGATTGCAGAGGGACATTATAAGGTGGGTTTGGTTAGAGGACGATGGAAGTATCTGCCTTTATACCACCCAGATAAACAACTGAAACATCTCATCAGACAAGAGAAAAAAAACAACAACAACAAACAAAAGGCAGTGCGGTGTGTGGGGAGGGTGTACGTGTCCCGGGACATGTAGTTTTATCTTCGAGAGATAGAAAAAAAGTTTCATTATGGGTTATTGAAGCGTATAAGGTCAGCGGGTATAAAGGAGAGGAGAAACAGGCAGGGTTAGACGGAGTCTTCAACTGTGTTGTTACTATCCATACAGAAATGCTCATATATTACCACTTACAGGGGGAATACCACCAAAATGTTCTGCATATTTCAGATGTAAATAGTCATTCGGAGTGGTTTCATGTGAAATTGTTTATTTTAGAGAAACCTGTTGGCTCAGATCTCTTTACAGTGGTTGTGATAGGAACCAGGGGTCACAATGTCTATGACACAAATATAGCCATTTCATCTGCTATCCAAAAACATCACTTAACCTGCACGTGTCTTCTGAGGTTTTAAATGTAAAGTTCATGGTAAAATAGTCATAAAATCTGGAAAAAAAAATTCTTTGGGACTATTTTGCTTTTCAACACCCTGCATGTACCATGAATGGATGTTAGAAAATACGTTTAAGCTAAATGTTCTCAAAACTACAGTAAAACAATGTCTCGGGCATTAGTCAGCACGTTTATACCCGTTTCATGCAATATCATTCTGTGAGGTGGCTTTTAGAGGTGGATATCTGGTTCCTATCACCACCACTGTGAACAATTCAGACTGCAAGTTTCTCTAGAACGAAGCATTTCACACCAAACCACTCCGAATGAATTTGTTTACATCTTAACAGTTTAATTATGTGAAGAATTAGAGGACTTATCCTTTAACCTAGAGGTTAAACAAATGAGCAGATTACATTCTTGAATGGGAGCTGTGCCCAATAGAACTACTGAACAGTAGTTCACTGGGGAGCTGTAGTACAGCCAGGTTTCACCTGGGCCTTCATTTCCAAAGCTGTTTAATTCAGTTTATCACATTTGAGTTTAAAATGTCTCTGTGATTTTATGCTAATTTCATGTACTACCAGTGACCCATTTAACGACAACCTGAAATTAAAACCGATCTTCTTTTTTTTTTGTTAGTTAATGTTCCTGGTCATATCAAGCATGATTCATCATATATCATTTAAAAGACAAAATTCTTGTGACTTTTTCTTTCCGCTAAAACATCTTCTCATTTTTCATTACATCACTATGCACCAACAAGCTGGGAAAAGTAATATAACCAATAATATCATGATTCACTACACCTACACCTTAATATAATTGTATTCTTCCATTTATTAGCCTTTAAAAAGCCGGGTAACACTTTCCTAGAGTGTTATAGAAGACGATAGAGGAGTATCTCAGTAGTTACAAACTATATTTATTATTGTATTATGCATAAAATAACAAACTATGTGAAAATACTAGTACTACCCAGGATCATTAAAGTCATGTCATACTATTCATTACACAACCCGTATTAATGTCTATTTAGTCCCCACATCTACAGCAATAAAACACCTTACAGGAAGCAGCACAGCATCTAATTCTAGTCTTTGGCGCCCTCTAGTGGTTTTACCTGCAACAGCTCTTGCTCTTCATTTTCCCTAGAAGCCTAACCTAAAAGCAGAAGCCTATTGAACACCAGCTCCCACACACTGCTGGATGAGAATGAGTCACCTGATGTCTGTCATGTTTGTGCACTTGTATTTAAACTTTGTCTACGTATAAATATGTAGGGTAGTTTGGGGCGTCTGGGGAGAAGCCCCCAGCGTAAGACCCCGCTAACCCATAACCATTTAATTTTAAACTAGAATATTTTAGTGCTGTTCTTTGATTAATAATGACATTTTTTAGTCAAGGACTAAAAATGATTTGACATGTTTTAAACATCTTGTAAAACCTAATGACAAATTGATTATGGGGGGGCTTCAGCTTTTTCTGAATGTTTTTTGGGTAACACCCTATTTGGATAGTCCACTTTAGATGCTTTGTAGACAAATTAATTTCAAGTTACATTCAATTAAATATCTACTAAATTCACCATAATTTTCTTTAAATCTCTCATCTTGACCCTAACCTTAACCTCAACCCAAAACCTAAACCCAACCCTCAACCCTGGTCCAAATCCTAACCCCCCCACCGTTTGGAATCGACTGAGTTTCACCAATTAACACTTTGAACATCTGCAGATAATCTACAGGGGACTATAGTGGACTATCCAAATGAAGTGAGACCTTTTTTGTGCTACAAAAACAAGAATGTGTGTAACTTTATGCATCATCATCTTATATACAATAAACTCTGAAAACCAAAAGTGGTGAAAACTTTCATGCTCAGACAAAAAGTGCACCCTTCAATAAATGACTCTGACTTTACTGAAACAAAGCTAACAACAATATATTTTAGTGTTGTAGTTACATCCAGTTCACATTTCAGATCAGCTCAGTCATTCTGTGAGCAGTTAAGATCAGTATTGAACCTGATGGGGAGAAATTCATAACTAAAACACAGTTTTGAAATTTTGCTTGTTTTATGGAAACCCATAATGGGACTGGACAGGACCCAATAAAGTTGGCGCTGAAGGGCCCTTTTATTGTTTGCCAGGCATCGCCCTTTCAGCTAGTTGCGTAACAGTCCAGCCCAAACAAATGTAAATAAATACTGTAAAATTATTATAAAAATACTATAAAAACGCATATAACTTCTATATACACTTTATTGCCAAAAGTATTCACTCACCCTTCCAAATCACTGAATTCAGGTGTTCCATTCACTTCCATGGCCACAGGTGTATAAAACCAAGCACCTAGGCATGCAGACTGCTTCTACAAACATTAGTGAAAGAATGAGTCGCTCTCAGGAGCTCAGTGAATTCCAGCGTGGTACTGTGATAGGATACCACCTGTGCAACAAGTCCAGTCGTGAAATTTCCTCGCTACTAAATATTCCACAGTCAACTGTCAGTGGTGTTATAACAAAGTGGAAGCGATTGGGAACGACAGCTACGAAGTGGTAGGCCAGGTCAAATGACAGAGCGGGGTCAGCGGATGCTGAGGCGCATAGTGCGCAGAGGTCGCCAACTTTCTGCAGTCAATCGCTACAGAGCTCCAAACTTCATGTGGCCTTCAGATTAGTTCAAGAACAGTGTAGAGAGCTTCATGGAATGGGTTTCCATGGCTGAGCAGCTGCATCCAAGCCTTACGTCACCAAGCGAAATGCAAAGCGTCGAATGCAGTGGTGTAAAGCGCCACCACTGGACTCCAGAGCAGTGGAGACGTGTTCTCTGGAGTGACGAATCACGCTTTTCCATCTGGCAATCCGATGGACGAGTCTGGGTTGGACGGTTGCCAGGAGAACGGTACTTGTCTGACTGCATTGTGCCAAGTGTAAAGTTTGGTGGAGGGGGGATTATGGTGTGGGCTTGTTTTTCAGGAGTTGGGCTCGGCCCCTTAGTTCCAGTGAAAGGAACTCTTAATGCTTCAGCAGACCAAGAGATTTTGGACAACTTCATGCTCCCAACTTTGTGGGAACAGTTTGGGGACGGCCCCTTCCTGTTCCAACATGACTGTGCACCAGTGCACAAAGCAAGGTCCATAAAGACATGGATGAGTGAGTTTGGTGTGGAAGAACTTGACTGGCCTGTCCTGACCTCAACCTGACAGAACACCTTTGGGATGGATTAGAGCGGAGACTGTGAGCCAGGCCTTCTCGTCCAACATCAGTGTCTGACCTCACAAATGCGCTTCTGGAAGAATGGTCAAAAATTCCCATAAACACTCCTAAACCTTGTGGAAAGCCTTCCCAGAAGAGTGGAAGCTGTTATAGCTGCAAAGGGTGGGCCGACATCATATTAAACCCTATGGATTAAGAATGGGATGTCACTCAAGTTCATATGTGTGTGAAGGCAGACGAGCGAATACTTTTGGCAGTATAGTGTAAGTGAGAGTACTGAATGAAAAACTCATGGAAGATAAAATTTAGTAACTTTTTATTTCGGCTCCAGTGTTACAAACTGTAGCAGCATTTTCACAAATCAATAAACATTTTGCATCTACGTTACTGTCTCCATTGTAAAGTATCTTTAGTACTCTAGATGGCACTCTGTATTCAATATTCCTTCCGGTTTTGTGCGCAGAGAAAGCAGCTGTGTCCAATGGTTGGAGTCTTATTCTTCAGTTGTGAAAATGCAGGTTTTGGAAGGGTGTGGCAACCCTGTTGCACTCACAAATAAAACATGAAACGGACACGCATGAAGACTTATACTTTCCTACAGCCAACAGCGCAGAGACAGATGTTTCACAATGAATCGATCACAGAGTGAGCCAGACGAGAATTACAGAAATAGAGAGTTAGTTAACACACATTAACAGAGTACAGCATAAAGCAATCTGACAGCAGATATAAAGATTGAGACTAAAGATCAGGTTCTGTGCAGTTATAAACAATAAATAAAATAGCCATCGTTAAAGGAATGGTTTGGCAAAAAAATCTAATTTCGACAATTTGCCACTTGTAGTTGATGTAGGTGATCAGCCAAGACATGAGCTACAAGGTTAATGCTGCTAAGAGACACTAGAAGTCAGTAGTCACCCAAATCTTTTCTGTAAAAACATCCTCAAAACTTCTTATAACCCACTCAAACTGCATTCAGATCTTCAATAAGGTCACACAGACTGGCTGATGTGGTTAAGGACACAATGACAATGAGAACTACAAAAATGAACACAGCGTTCGACAACAAGGTGAGTTTTTGCTCATTTTTGCACTTCACAGTAGGTCATAATGTGTCCTAGACCCCATCAACAAGTCTGTCTGGCCTTAATGACGGCCAAGGTGTGGGTGAGAAAAGTTGTGAGGATGTATTTACCGAAAGGATCTGGGTAACAATTTGGGTGCCTATTGACTCGTGTTTGTCAGCAACGTTAGCCTCATATCTCCAGTTCTAAACTAGGCAAAACTTGGACAAAATATCTCAGCTGATCAACTAAACCCGGGATAAGTGTACAATTGTGTAAATTAAAATTTCCACCATATCATTTCTTCAAGTTCTACCTTAAATACTTATTTCATGGGCTAGAAAAGCAATTCTATACCAGGGCTTCATAGCCACTGTGCATTTAATACAAGCTAAAATCAACACACATAAAAACAAACAGAAAAAGGCAATTTAAGGCTCCTATCTAAGGAAACATTCAGGGCTATTGCTGATAAGTACATTCTTAAAATAACAGCTTGGTCAAAAAAGCTAATGTTGCTAAGAGTGAATGAATGAACAGCATTAGGCAAATTGGGTCATGCTAATGGCTACTAGTTTGGCTACTAGTTTGTTGTTAGCCATGTTAGCATGTTTGGTTGAGCTATTCCTTTTAACAACATTAAAACCACTACTTTATGTCAGCTGTTTTTTATGGTGGCATCTGTTTTCAAGCTACGCTGTGTGTGAGTGAGCATTTAAAGTAAGTCTTTGGGTCTTTGAGTATAAAGTAATTAATGTGCTTCAAAAAAAATGCATTTAGCGAATGAAACACTAAACCAGCGTTTAATCAAAGGCAAACAAACAAATCTCCTCGGATTCACAGATTCCGGTGGAATTTAGAGGAATGTCTAACACTTCCGAGCCGTTCGGGGACAGAAGTCTGGGAAAAGGGCGGCAATGGGAACAGGAAGTGGACAGAGGAAGGACCCTCTGCCAAGCCATTTGAACCAGCCTCAACACCAAAACCTCGCAAACCCACCAACATCCCTGTCAGTTACCCATAGTTATCATGGGATGAAGCTGCATAGATCATAGAAACACATCAGATCCAGACGGTCCACAAGTAAAGGGGATGACTGTATCGTGATGTGCTAAAAGGTTATATTTCTTCTGACTTGCTACAAGGTCAGTCTGAGACGTTACTTTGATCATTACTAAATATGTACACGTGAACAATATCTTAGACTCTGTAAATGAAGAGTGAAATAAGAAAATACAAAAGCTAAAGCCTGACCGATGTATCAGTCGGCTGATAAAATCTGCCGATATTATCGGCATCAACAAAAATCCCACAAATAAAGCGGCAATATTTTTTCTTACAATAGAACGACATTTTTCTTTTTCATTTTTAGCTCAAACTTGATATTGGTGCCAATTTTCATACTGGCCGGGCTCTAATAAAGACGTGGGATGAGGCATCCATGCATTTGGTGAGTGCATTTACCATTAGACTGTTGGTCCCCCACTGGAACCAGCATACACATGCTCTAAAATAAGAGCTAAATATCCAAAAAATAAAGAAAAAGCTGCCAGTGCTGACACCTCTCAGTTATATAGTACAATATATACAATATTACACTTCCAAGGACTTTATACTGTTGTGCGTGATTTCAGTGCAAAGCACTCAATGCTCAAAGGCAGACTCTTGAGCCAAGTCAACATCCATTACGAATGGGAGAAGGCATCTAGATATAGGATCTAGAGACACACAAGCTTTGCAATTAGGAGAAAACAGGATTTTTGTTGTACTGCATATTCACAAACAGGTTTTTGTACCTTGCTATGGAAATATCACTCAAGGCTTGTGGGTTGTAAGGGCAGATATACGCACTTTGGGCCAGTTTCCCACACATGGATTAAGTACCAATGAAGAATCACCACTAGGAGGTCTTTTTAGTCTAGGTTTAGGCTTAATCTGGGTCTGGGAAACCAGCCCTATATGTTTAACTAACTTCAATGTTTTACTGAAAGAGGCCAGAGAGAGTAAAGCACACAATTCTATCAGTACAAAACTGACAACTTCAACAAACACTGATCAGAACACTGATCAAATTCCTAGCGTGGTCCCGGATTAAGCAATTAAGATCTATTCAGTCAAAGCCCACTGCTGTAGCTGTTGGTGCTAAGCAGCCATTACAGTGGCATAGCCTAAAACATGCTTATAATTTGTCCGGAATGGTTAAGTGCTTAATCGTTAGGTGTCATTATCACTCACAACAGTAAAACATACTGAAATAACTTAAATTAACCACTTGTTAAGAGTTTGAACTCCAGCACGTCATTGCAAAAATCAGAGGCCTTCAAAACCGGAGCTTGAATCCAGTATCCGGATCGGGTGGTAATCAGTTTTTTCAGATTTTGTAAAGACTTGCAGACGAGACACTAGGCTGCCAATCAGTGACATCAACAGTTACGGAGAATTCCACTGATTTTTCAAAATTTCTGTATCACTGAGATGTAGACAAAGTCATTCAGAGTGGTTTGTTGTAGACAAACATACAGTGGTGCTGGCAGGAAACAGAGGTCACAATGTCTACAATGCAAACATAGCAGTTTCATCTACTATCCAAAACTACTGTTGAATACTGTTAAATTCTGGCATTAGACAACTTATTCATCATGTAATATATTTCTGTGACGTAGCTTCCAGAAGCCATTAAAAGCTTCTGCCGTCTGGTTCCTAACACCACCACTCTGAACAAAGCTAAGTCTGCAAGTTTCTCTACAACGGAGCATTTCACACCAAATCACTCTGAATGACTGTGTATATAGTGACCATTTAATTACGCAGAAAAAAGTGGAATTTACCTTTAACTGAAAACTGGATTCAAGGTCAGGATTTTGGAGACTTCTGGCCTAAATCCAGTTCTCTCTTTACGCTAGTACATTAAAATAATTTTTTAAAAGTACATATACATTTGAAGGTGTAAAATGCCGTAGTTAATAACGAATCTGACTAGGAAATGCGGTGTAAAATCTTTATCTTCTTTGGACCCGTCAATTGCACAAATATTGTCGCTGTCAGAACAAAACCTCATATTGCCAAAATGGTAACTTTATATCAGAAGATAAAGCATTCATTTTGGGCAATTTATGTTGGACTGTTAATCATACAATGCAAACGATAACTGGAGTTTTCAAATTAGGCAAAAGAGTAAAAAAAAAAAAGAAAGAAATTAAGAGGTTTTTACACGACAGCAACGATATTATTAATTGAAATCGATGGACAATATTAGTCATTGAAGATAAATGCCTCAACCTGTAGTAAAGACTGCCTTTTGCCAAAGAAGAGCACTTTTCTTAAAAACACACTTGTTCCGTATTTGTCATGCAGCAGAACTGGGGGATGTGTTGTGTTAAACAGTCCTTTATAAATACTCAGATGACCTTCCGAAGTCTGGAGAAGCAGAAGCCCTGGAAATCTGAACAAAAAGAAATAAATACAAATTTCCTACATCAAATTTAAAAACACGGGCAAGGCTAAATGTATTGCCGTCTCTTGTTACCATAGAAACAGAGGGATTGGAAGGATGTGACTTTGGGTCTGATTCCTGTGGCACACCTACTGGTCACACCATCACGGCACAACATGATCAATTTAGTGGCAATGGTGCACTTACTGTGATGTGCAATGACTCCAAGAATAAAGGTAGTACAAGGCTGCTCTGGCAGAATCAGACCCAAAGTGTGGACATCAGACAAACTCAAGTCTGTTCTCATTCTTTTCTTCCTTTCTGTGGGGACGTTTTCGCATGCGCACATTTGTGTACATATTCTTATGTCTAAATATGTTTCCTGCTTGTAACAGCAATAAATTCTTCCAATAAATAAATATTTCATCTGAGAAAACAGAACCAACAACGTGATTACGAAAGGAGAGGAAGTGCTCGTTCCATCACAAGCGGATGTCTACATTCTTCTTTTCCATTTTTAGAGTTGAACTTCATCTGTTTTGAAGAGAACTTGGGGCAATTTTATGCACACAGTGTGACAAAGACAAACACGGTTGGTCTTCCCACCGTCTTCTCTCTGTGTAGCGCTGATTCTGTCCTGAGGGCTCTTTATGAAGCCCCAAGAGTGGACAGTGTCAGTAAACTTAACCCCCTAGTGGTCCTCAAACCTGTTTCTGGAGTGTCCCTGTCTGGTATATTTTAGTATTTAGAAGGGCTTGTTAATTGACCTATCCAGACTCCGCCCACAAAAGCAGACTTTCGTAGTAACTGTTATTAGGTTGGATGAGCTCTACAGAAGACGCGCAGGCTATGACATTAACTTAGCTAGCTAGCAAACCTTAAAGTGCTAGTCAGTCAATGTTCAAACATTATGATTAGCTTATCAAGTTTGTGTTTATCTCCAAAACAGATTACACAACCATCTACCACAAGAACCTTTACTGTCCTATGCAATAGTTTGAATATCCCTGGTCAAAACACATAGATTTGTTGATTTTCTATGTGAAGTTCTGCAGTACTTAAATATTATACGCTGTTTAAAACAGTGTGAAAAAATGGGTACCACCTTAAAATGAGACTACCCTTATAAAGTGTTTATGAATTATGAGTTTAAAAATAGCTTGTTCATGGTTATTATTTAGGTCATACACTTTTTAAAAAGGCATTCATAAACAGTTATAACACATTAATAAAAAGGGCAAAAGTGAGAAGTTATATCTGATGAATCTGAATATATGATGAAACTGAGTTTAATGCTTACTGATGAAGACAAAGTAAGATCAGTAAACATGAAAATCTGAGTTTTAGAAGTATAAATGAACAACTGTTCACTTTTAGGCAAACAACAGGTCAAAGTTGCCCTTTTTATTTGTGTTGTAACTGCTTATTAATGCGGTCTTTAAAAAGGTCTTTATGGCCTAATTCATAACCATTAAACAAACTCATTTTAAACCATTAATGAATGCTTTATAAGGGTAGTCTTATTTGAAAGCACTTAGAAAATCAACAAAACATTCATCATAATTTGATGCCCAAACCTGGGAATTTCTGTGAATGTTCTGTAAAGCTTTTACAACCTCACAACGACAGCTATAACAACACACTTGTGGGCGGAGCACAGACAGATCATTTAGCTGATTGGCTGGATCAGGTATGTTGGCGCAGGGCAGGTTACTCCAGGACCAGGATCAGGAACCACTGCCCTAGCCTCATGTTGGCCCGGTCTTGTCTGCCTCCCTCGACAGTTCCAGGCTGTGCTGCTCATGCTGGGTCAAGAAGTACTTGAAGAACTCATAGACAGACCACGCGATTGCTGTGGAGGGCATCTGGTAGATGACCCTCGCCCTCACGCCCTTGAAGAAGGCCGGCAGGCCACCCAACCGGTAGACCGTCCTGAAGGCGTTGGCCATGCCCGAGAGGTGGCCGCTCACATGCGCCGAGCTGAGGGCCACGTTCTCCTGCGTGTTCAGGAGGGTTTTGCAAACATCCAGCGGCGTGGTGACCGCGGCCGACACCGCTCCGGCTGCCGCACCCGAAAGAATGTGTGTCCCAGGCCAGTACTGCCGCTGAGGGTTCAGCCGCTCCTGCATGAACTCGTAGGTGATGAAGTGCACAGCCTGGAAGGGAATGTTCATGGTGAGCTGCGTGCTGTAGCTGCGGTAGAAGGCGGCCAGGCCCTCCTTACGACTGACCGTCAGTACGCAATCCCAGAGGCCTCGGTAGGGGGAGTTATACATCTGCATGCGCTGCTTTACCACTGAGGAAGGAATAAAAGGGAAAAGATTTATTTGGGGGTCTCTTATGCTACATATTTCTTGTATATGTGTATAAATCACTTTTACATGATCTCTCTCTAATCTTTAGAATGAAACAGGATGTTTTTGTTACTGCGCCTTTAAGACTAACGTATGTAAATGAGTTCAGATTGGCTTCCTTGTACTGTGTTTCATTCAAAAGCAGACTGAAATAAACAGACACTGGAATAAAGACAGTACTGCCACACCCTTTCAGAAGTCTGGATTCTTTGGAAGGTTACAGTAATGACTCTGCTTCCTGACTGCCAGGAACAACTTAACATCTAATAGACTTCCTTAATATCTTAACAGCTTTTATTCCTTCACATTTCCATTAACTGCTACAGGTGACGACCACGATGATGAATGCAAAATGGTGTGTTTTTGAAGCTTAATCTTCATATATGGAATGTATACACCGGGTACACGTTTATGAATCTTAAATGATGTTTACATATTTAATCTAAATTCAGCTATCCATGATATGTACCCTTTAAAACATGCATTCCACCTTGGGGAAAAAAAGCCCTGAAAAGTGCTCTGTGAAATACTACAATGACTTAGAGTGGTACCTTCAGCAGGATTCATAACTGCATCATGGAGCACAGTCGCTACACTTCCTGCAAGCCCTGAGAGGAAGAAATGATTCATTTTAAGAGCATTGCATTACTTCTTCAAATTGCTTTCATGTGGACAATCAGTAATGTGCTTACTCATGGTGACACTACAGTCATACGCACCATTGGCAATGTGGCTGTTGCCTCCGTTCTGAATGACATCGCTGAGGCTGCGCTTGATGCGCTCGTAGCAGGCGAAGTAAAGGGCGTGGGCGGGGCCGGCCCCCAGCACAGTGATGTTGAGGCCCCTGAGGGGCCGCAGGAGGCCCTCAGTTCTGACAATCCTCCGCAGCGCTCCATACACACTTCGGTACTGAGCCTTCGGGTCTGGCTGTAAACTCTGCATACGGGTCTGCGGAAAGGACACAACGACAAAATACAGATACATAAATAATTACATGGTTATGTAACGGATTACATTTACATTCCATTTACAAACTGTATAGACAGGTTTTGTGACTGCGCTTCTGACTTTTTTGGCTTGGTTCAGCATCAAATGATGTCAAAAATATGGCAAAATTAAAAGTTTTTGCTTGCATAAAGCACAACAATTACATCTTCAATTTAACTCAGAATAAACTAGAATCAGTTTGGCCGTGGCCAGTTCCCACATACTAGCCCTGTTATGTCATGTGAGCTAGCTGTCTACTTTGGCTAGGATCGCACTGAGTGATTGCTGAAAGGAAGGACCATCATACCCATCGAGAGAGAGCAAGGCCAGTTATGCTCTCTTGGACTCTCTGCCTCAGATGGCTGTGGCATTGCCGGGGCTCAAACTTGCAATCTTTTAGAGGGTTGCACCAATTTCAATGAGCTACTAGTGAGAAATAATATAACAAAGCTGCATTTGCTAACTCGATATATCGCAATAACTGCCTTCTTAACAGCACAACTGTAAGTTAATAAGAACAATGGAGAGAAGGACTAACCCAAAACCCACACGAATGGTAAAGTCATGCCACGCCAAGCTGATCCAGAGCAACAATCAGAATTAAACAATAGAGAATTTAAACACTCTTTTGGGCTTTATGGGAAAAATCCCAAAATCATTCAAACCCAAACGTCCACTTCCTCCACAGTAACAGAATGTCTGTGAGAGTTGGCAGTTTTTTGGACACAAATGTTTAAAACTTGACTGTCCCCTGATTTCTACAAAAAAGATTTTACACACATTCTTTAGAATGGACAGATGCTTTCTGGGAAAAGAAAAGGACATTTTATTGTTAATGAAATGACGGGAAGGAAACAGAATCAATATGCAGAGAGAGATAGGGCAGCCCATCTCTCTGACTGCACCACGTTTCACTGCTGTAATAAAAACATGCTTTGTGATGTGTGAACGATTTGGCATGAGGGTGGATAAAGGCGGCGGAGAACAGGCCGGATCAGGGCTAAGAACGACAAACACTGCTGAGAGGCAAATGGGCACAAACAGCTGTTACTTCTTCTCAAACCCCATATTGGCCATTCAGAGAAAAGCACTGGAGCTGGATGCAGGTTACCTCCCAAAAGGTATAAAATTGGATGCTCTGGAAAAGGCTGCAACTTCCACACCACTCCAGTGGGATAAAAAGCTTTAGGGTTACTGAAAGAGGCTTTGCAAGACCAGTTTGGCAGTATGTGGAATTGCATGGTTGCACAGAAAGATGGCACATTTGCAGAAGTGTGGACCCAGGTTATAAATGTGGACATTTGATAAAAATAACAATTCTTTCAGCCTAACGTGGTAAGGATTGCGGACATTGTTGATACAGAGGCTATTCAGTAATGAGGTCAATTTATTCACATCAAAGCAGTGAAGGGTTACCGGGTTTACTGAGATCTACTGAGCTTTCCAGTCCACGGACACAGACATGGTTCCAGCATCTCAGTCTATTAGCAGAGCCCAAGACTGTTAGGGACGCTGGGTTTCAAGACTGAAGTTAAATATCATTGTACATGAGCTGAAGTACAGTTTGAAATATGATAGAGTCAAGCAATGTCAGACATTACTTTGCCACTGATAATGGACATTTAAGGGAATTGCCAACAATAATTCAAAATGAATGTGTATGTAATTATACAACACATAAAAAACCAACACCAAACCTATTTTCATGCTACAGAAGAAAGCTATAAGAATTATAAGTCGATCAGACTATTATGAACCAACCAATAAACTATACATTAAATGACATGCTTTAAAATTCAGTGATCTAGTCAACCTTCAAACTGCACAGATAACGTACAAAGCACAGAACAATTTACTACCAAACTGTATTCAGAAGCTGTTTGCAGTTTTGATATTACTCTGTATTGTTTAAATGCAGGATTGTACATGATTTAAATAAACTTATTATTACAATTACAATACAACAGTTACTCATATTCACGGATACAGAAGGACATAAGTGAAAAACAATCTCCCCAGCCATCCTGGTATGCAAAACCAAAACCACACTCTGCGCAACCATCACTGTTTTAAACATCCTCTTGCAGTCTGCAATCTCCCACTTTCTTTCCAGCAATCCTCACAATTACAGTAAACATCAAGCTAAAACACAGCATCTTCTCTATTCTGTAATTAGAGAGTGAATAACTTTACCACAGATTACCCTGTGAAGCAAGATAAGCTAACCGCATCCACTTCACCATTCTTTTCCTCTTTATTCCCCTAATTCCCCTTTATTTGTAGCTTCACACTAGCTCAACTTCTTTGTGTCTAACAAGTTTGAGCTTACCTCCTAAAGACATTACACATGATGCGCACTCCTGCTTAAGCACCCATAAACCATTATCAAACATGGAGATATGCTGTATTGCCACTTATTATGATTATTATGTATGTGGGATGTTTCATAACAGACTGCAGGCACTGAGCTGGAGCAAGAGTAACCACAAGTCTAATACAGGTGAATACAGTGATACCCTTCAGCTTCAAGTTCAAAGTATCTTCCTTGGTATGAAGAGCAGGTATCGGCTATAAATGATTGGCGTTTTAACACCTGATGAGTGTTGACATTGCCAGGGCTTCTGACAGATCATGGTCAGCTTTTATCCACACTAGCCTCACTTAGTATTTCCAACGATGTACTATTGACCTCACGTAGCTGTCTGCTGGGAAGACAACAAACTGTGTAATGAGGGAAACTCAGGCTGGTGTGCCCAAAGGGTTGATTGTTATCCCCTCTTCTTTTTGTCCTCTGCATGAATATGCTGGATCAGATGTTGCCTTATTGTTTGGAAGCCATTAAGTATGCAGATGACCTGACCTTCTCTGAGCTGTTAATAGCTTTTCCTGTTCAAACGCAAGCTGCCGTTGATGCATTCATTCCGGTGGGCCAGATTTTCTGCCTTTCAGCAAATGCTCTAAGAAAGAGCTGGTGATCAGTTTTAGAAAACCTCATAACAGACCTGACCAGTCTTCTCCTGCAGGGTCAGGGTGTGGAATCCTTAAAGCTCTTAGGTGTCCAGATCAACTTAGACCTTAGAAAGGATAACCACATTACTTACATTACCAATAAAGTCCCAGCACTGATTCATTATCTTAGGGTGTGTCGCTTCATGTATATCTGACCTTCATCCAGCCTGTTCTGGAGCAAGCTTGTTCGAGCAGGCCTATCTCAAGACATTGTGAAAGAACTAAAATCCTTTCATGCTGTAGACTCACTGGGCAAACATATGGGCAAAACAGTGGAAGCTACCAAAAATGAATCTGACGAGATTCTACAGGCTCTACGAGTCCCTTCCATGCATTTTTACCTGCACAATTGAATCACTATCCTTAACAGAGCAGTAAGCAATACATGCAACCCTAAACTACAGCAAAAGGCACCCGGTATATTTTTCCCCAAGAGCTTTTAAACTATGAGTGAATCTTTCTTCACATTCAAACTTTATACATTTGTTTTTACAGCATGCGTTAAGCATATTTAAGTGAAATGTATACTGTATGTTTGCATTGTATTGCCGGATATTTAAAGTGCTCTATCTTAGACCTGACTTGATGTTTCATTTGGAACATTTTATATTTCATGCACTTTCGTGTCATCAAACAATGTTTTGATGAACCTGAATCTCGACTTCTCAACAAGGTGATAAAATTTGTGGCCTGTCACAAATATGTGTGATATTCTTTCCCGCACAACATTAGCGATGTCCATTCTGACTATTTTTGATATTCGAGTGTACATAGGAGTTAATGGATGGATCTTTGGTTAACCTTGGGGACTTGGGGGCCAAAATCAACCTACAGATGTAGGCTTATACCTTAGCAGCACACAGAGCAATACATTTGAAAACATTTTATTATTCAAAAATAGCCAAAGAAAGTCAGCAGGTTTTTTTATGTTAGGTGGGTAAAAGATGAAATAATGAGCTAAACCATAGCATGTACACAGTTGGCGAGGTGTCGTGTTCTATACGAGGTCTTTTCTCCTCAGTGGACGACGTGTCAATGTGTTAGCCAACGGCTGGGTTTACATGCAAAGATTTTTGCCAATCCGAACGAATACATTCCGATTACAGATTAAGACTGAGGTGTTTATATGAACACTCTACTCAACAATCTGATGAAAATCTTCGTTTATATGCTCACTACAAGTAATCCGATCCAAAATGACACGCATGCGTGGAGTACCACTTAGAGTTAACGTTACCATGACAGCGAGCATCACGTGAGGTCCAGTCAGAGTGAGATGAGTTTCCAGTTGGCGCGCTGGAGTTTTTAATTACTTTAAAATGATGTCAGACTCAGGAAAACGTCCTTCACATGTCCTTATTAAAGAAGGCCGAGAGGAAGACGTCGTGTTCTGAGACACATAAGCTGGACGTCCGTCCCACCGCCATCTTTTAAAGATCAGAGCATAAACTTGGTCTCCTCTGCAGACCAGTTTCTGCTCCCCTTATGTTGAACGTTCTAAACTTTTGCCGGTTTATGAGTTCTCTGCTTTTGCTATGACACGACGCACATGCGGAGAATGTACTTACACGGTCCGATTGGAAATGTAATCCGATAAAGGCGTTTACATGGCTATTATTCTTCTATTTAATGGATTATTTACAGGATTACCCACCTCGTTCAATAGAAATTGTATTCCGAATATCCTCAATCGGCCTAGACTATTCCGATTGAAGTGTTTACATGGACGCATTCTATTCCGATTGAGCTATAAGTCGGATTATTAACGGATTATCAGGCTGCATGTAAACGGGGCTGATGTGTTAAAGAAATATCTTCTCATCTCACATCAGCTGACTTATTTAGCCTAGTTAGCATTAGAGCTAAGCATCATGTCCTTAACACATCATTGGCAACACACTCACGTTATGGCGCTTGTGCTTTGTAGTAGCAAAGCATAATATGAACTACTT